CATTTCAACAAACTCGTCAAAGTCGACCTAAAAACCCAAACGGAGACAAAAACAGCAAAATAAAATCAGAATAAAATCAAAATAATATAAAACAAAACAAAATAGAACAAGAAATCCAAAAAGGTCAAAAAAAACGGAAAAAAACTCAAAGAACGACTCCACATTCGGATGTATAGACAGCTCCCAGCTGCAACGACCTTTGGACTATTTTTCGTTCTTCTTTCTTTACTATTTCTTTATTTAAATCCTTGAAAGTACTTCTATATATATATATATACATGTATATGTTTATTATACTTTATATTTTAATTTCTTTTAAAGAAAGATCTTTGAATTATTTCCACAAAGTTATATAAAGACTACAGTCTATAGACTACTTCTTCATCACGGCACTTTGATTGTTTCTTTATTCCTGTCTTTTAATTGCTTATTTAAATATAATTTCAAATAAATAATTAAATATTCAAATAAACAATTTAATCATTTATCTAAAATTATATTTTAATTTTAATTTTTTTTAAATTAAAAATGAAAATTATTTCTTACCTCTCCGTCGTTGTTCTTATCGCACTCCGCGAGCACCTCGTGCCAGGCCTTGTCGTCAATGGCAGTGATGCCGAAAAGCTGAAAAAAAGAAAGAAGTCCAAATTAAATCAATTTTAATCATTTAATTTATTTTGAATTCATTTAAAATCAATTCAAATCAATCGCCGATTTTCCAAAAACAAAAACGCCAAAAAACGGAAAGAAATGCATGCAAATCGGCTCTCCAAGTGTACATACACCAGCAGCAGCAGCAGCAGCAGCAACAGCTGCAGCAGCAGCTGCTGCAGCAGCAGCGGATGCTCCTTCAATTATTTGCTTCTACGAGCAAATATACCGCCACTCGCTCGAAGGCAGTAGGCAACCGCGTTGCTGCAGCAGCCCCTCAATAGCGTTAGGGTTTAGGGTTTAGGGTTTAGGGTTTGGGCACCTTGGCTAGCTCTTCATTTGTGATTTTTCCTGAGCCGTCGCTGTCGAACTGCTGGAAGGCCTGCAGCAGCCTTTCCCTTGACAGCAGCAGCTGCTTGTCCATGCACACAGTGACAAACTCTACAAGCAGCAGCAGCAGCAGCAGAAGCAGCAGCAGCAGCACAGGGGAGAGGAAAATTAAAAGGGAGAGAATGCATGGAGGCGCACTACAAACTGTCCATACACCCCACGACGCACACAAACAATGCTAGAGCGCAGCCTAAACCCTAAACCCTAAACCCTAAACCCTAAACCCTAAACCCTAAACCCTTCCCAGACTCTAGATTTTGAAAAACCCCAAAATACTAAACCCTGAGCCTTCATTAAAGCCCAAGCCCAAGCCCCTAGCCCGCAGAAAACCTCAAACCTTAGGGTTTGGGGTTTTCTGCGGGCTAAACCCTAAACCCTAAACCCTAGACTGACCTGAGTATTCGATGTATCCGTTTTTATCGAAGTCCACGGCAGTCAGTATTTGGTCTACTTCGGCTTCAATGGTGGCTTCGTCGACCTCCCCGGACTCTCCCTTCCACTGAGCGCAAACCCCAAAAAAGGGTTTAGAACTTCTTAGTGTTTAGCACCTAGGGTTTACCGTTTAGCGTTCCCGGCTTCCACCACTCTACCATCCCCCGACCCCCGCCCCCACCTTCCCCAAACTACCCTCTAGGGTCTACAATTAGGGTTTAGGGTCTACGGCTAGGGTTTAGGGTCTACGACTAGGGTTTAGGGTCTACGACTAGGGTTTAGGGTCTACGACTAGGGCTTAGGGTCTACTCTTAGGGTTTAGGGTCCACGACTAGGGTTTAGGGCCTAGGGTTTAGGGTTTAGGGTTTGGCACGTCGAGGAGCTTGCGGTAACCCTCGATGAGTTCCTTGCGGTCGAGCTGGCCGTCGCCGTTTTTGTCCAAAGCCCTAAAAATTGTTGTCAACTCTTTTGTCTCTTCCACTGTCGTCAACTTCGACCCCATGAACAGCATCGCCGCCTGCGCCAGCTTCTGCGTCGACCTGCATGCGCACAAGCCCGCCACCTGGCTAGCTAGCTAGCTGGCTAGCTGGCTAGCTGGCGGGCTACCGGGCGGGGGCTAGCTGGCTAGCTGGCTAGCTGGCGGGCTACCGGGCGGCGGCTAGCTGGCTGGCTAGCTGGGGGGCTACCGGGGGGTGGCTAGCTGGGCTAGCTCGGTGGCTAGCTCGGTGGCTAGCTGGCTCGGTGGCTAGCTGGAAGGCTAGCTGGGTGAATAGATGGGTGGCTAGCTGGGTGGATATCCCGCCAGCTGGCTATCTAGCTAGCTAGATAGCTAGCTAGCTAGCTAGCTGGCTAGCTGGCTGTCTAGCTAGCTAGCTGGGGCCCCAGGCACCCCCAAAGACCCCCGAAAACCCCCCGAGCGCCCCAGAGCGCCTCAGAGACACCAAAAGAGGCAAAAAGAAACAAAAAGGAAAACCAAAAAGTCGAAAAGAGACAAAAAGAGATGAAGACAAAAAGAGACAAAAGAAGCCAAAAGAAGATAAACCAAGGCAAAGAGAGAGTCAACAAAGAGTCCAAAAGAGTCTAAAAAAGCCGAAAAAAGATGCGAAAAAGAAGAAAAAGAAGAAGTCTGACTGGAATTTTTTCATGTTTCCGAGGGCGCCAGTGAGGGCGTGTTTGGGCATGTCGGAGTCCTTTTGAGAAGAGAATTTTATTATCCACGGATGAGAAAGAGACTCTTCAGCAGATATTCTTTTGCTGGAGTCGTAGGTCAGCATCTTGCGCACCAAGTCCTTCGCCTCCTCGGACACGTGGCCCCAGTCCGGCATTTCAAACGAAAACTGCAAACAGTTCCGCGAAATGCACGTTTTAATGCCACTGTGACTCAAAATGGATTATGTTTTCAGAATCTCCGAAAGAATTGACACAAAGAGATGCAAAATGCCGAAAAAACGGGAAAAAATGAGCTAAGGGATGCCAAAGTGCTGCTGCTGCTGCTGCTGCTGCTGCCGCTGCTGCTGCAGCACAACAGCAGCAGCAGCAGCACCACCACCACCATCATCAGCAGCATCACCACCATCAGCAGCATCAACGCCATCAGCAGCAGCACCATCATCAGCAGCAGCAGCAGTAGCACCAGCACCAACAGCAGCAGCACAAACAGCAGCGCCAACAGCAGCAGCAGCAGCAGCAGCAGCAGCAGCAGCAGCAGCGGGCCACCTTTCCGCGTTCGACGCGTTTGAGAATTTCCTGGTCAGTTTGTCCTCCAAAGGGGGGATATCCGCAAAGAAGAATATAAAGAATAACTCCACAAGACCAAACGTCGCACTTCTCGTCATATTTCTTCCGCAGCACTTCTGGTGCAATGTAGTACGCCCTGACACAGTCCGCATGCATGCAACTGCATGCACTTGCATGCGCTTGCATGCAACTGCATGTGCACGCGTCTGCATGTGCATGCGTCTGCATGTGGCTGCATGCATGCGCTTGCATGCATGCATGCATGCAGTTGTGTGGGGGTTTAAAAGGGTTTGAAGGGAGTTGAGGGTTAAGCGGGGCTTTAGAGGGTTTTGAACTTGTTGGGGATTTGGGGGTTTTGAGGGTTTCGAAGGAATTTGCAAAAGATTTAAAAAACACTTGGAGAGGTTTCAAGGGTTTATGCGGGATTTAAAAAGATTTAAAGAGATTTAAAAAGATTTAAAGGGATTTAAAAAGACTGAAGGAAGTTAACAAGAATTCAAAAAGATCAAAAGGCATTTAAAATATTTAAAGGGCTTCAAAAAGATTTAAAAAAAGATTAAGAGAGATTAAAGGGGTTAAAAAGGATCAAAAAGAATTAAAAGGGATTAACCGCGAGGAATAAAACGAACTCCGAAAGATTTTTAAAAGGACTAAAAAGGCATTTTAAAAATGTTCCGAGAGGTGAGGGATTTAGAAGATAAAAAAGAATTTAAGAGATTAAAAAGGACTTAAACGATTAAAAAGAATATAAAACACTAAAAAGGATTTAAAAGATCAGAAAGAATATAAAAGATTAAAAAGAATTTAAAAGATAAAGATGATTAAAAAGGATTTAAAAGGATTAAAAAGAAAGAGCAAAAAGTGACTCTCATCTCCGATTCAAAAACCCGTTTATCTTCAATTAAGAGTACTTTTATCTTTAATCAAAATACTGTTATTTTTAATTAAAAATACGGTTATTTAAAAAAAAAACTCTTTAACTCGAAATTCAAAAACTTAAAAAAACCTATTAAAAACCCCTTCATCTAGAACTAAAAAACCCCTTAATTTAAATATAAAAACCCTTTTATTCAAAATTAAAAATCCCTTCAACACTTAATTAAAACCCTTTCATTAAAAACTAAAAACCCCTTCACCACTTAACTAAAGCCCCACTGAATTAACTTAGAGACCCTTTCATTTAAAACTAAAACCCTTTCATTTAAAACAAAACCCCCTTCACCACTTAACCAAACCCCCTCCGAATTAACTTTAAAACCCCTTCAATCCACCCAAATAAAGCCCCAAAAAGCCCCAAAAATCCCAAAAAAGCCCAAAAAAGCCCAAAGAAGCCCAAAAAAAGCCCAAAAAAAGCCCAAAAAAGGCCCCAAAAAAGCCCCAAAAGAGCCCAAAAAAGCCCAAAAAAGCCCCAAAAAGCCCAAAAGAAGCCCCAAAAAGCCCAAAAAAGCCCCAAAAGAGCCCAAAAAAAGCCCAAAAAAGCCCCAAAAGAGCCCCAAAAGAGCCCAAAAAAAGCCCAAAGAAGCCCAAAAAGCCCAAAGAAGCCCCGTTATAGTGTCAAGAAGTCGAGGCGCACGTTCCGAGTCGCTCGCGCATCTTGCCGCCGACTTCGTAGTGCGCGGAAAGGCCGAAGTCGACGATCTTGATGAGGGCGTCCTTGGCTTTGCTCTCGAGAAGAAGGTTTTCGGGCTTCAAGTCGCGGTGAACTATCTTGTGGTTGTGTAGGTC